TCTCCACTGCACACCTGTAGAAGGAGGTGAGGACTGAGCTTCACAGACCAGCTTGTCTCAGCCGCCTGAGGAAGTAGAGTCTCTGATGAGCTTTCTTGATTAGGCTGGTGGTGTTGATGCTCCAGCTGAGGTTGTCATTCAGGTGCACACCCAAGTACTTGTAGCTGGAGACCACTTCCACTGCAGATCCTCTTATTTTCAGGGGGGTGTAGGTGTTTTTGTTCCTTCTGAAGTCCACAATCATCTCTTTTGTCTTCTTCACATTGATGTGAAGGTTATTCTCTTTGCACCAGCTCTCCAGGTGTTCCACCTCTTGTATGTAGATGGACTCATTGTTGTTTGTGATGCATCCCTGGATGCCTGGATGGGTAGCTGCACAGTCATACATGAGCAGAGTGAACAGGAGAGGGCTCAACACACATCCCTGAGGAGAGCCAGTGCTGAGGGTTATGGTGGAGGAGGAGAAGTTGTGGATCCTCACTAACTGTGGTCTGTTTGTTAAGAAGTCTAGTACCCAGTTGCAAATGGAGGGACTTAGTCCTAGTGTGAATAGTTTGTCCATCAGGGTTTGGGGGATCATGGTGTTGAAGACAGACGTGAAGTCCACAAAGATCATACGGATGTAGGAGTCCTTATGCTCCAGGTGGGTGAGAGCAGTGTGGACCACAGAGGAGATGGTGTCTTCTGTTGATCGATTCTCATGGTATGCATACTGATGAGGGTCCTCGTTGATGTTGATGGTTGTTTTGATGTGAGTCATGACCAGTTTTTGGAAGTATTTAACGACTATTGGGGTGAGGAAAAATCAAACCTGATTGAAATCAAACCTGATGTTCTCGTCACTGTTTTCAATCCTTCTGAGGATCCGGCGTCTCTTCTCCGGTGATTTATTGTCGTCCAGACACAAAAAACGATGCAGGTTCTCCTCCATCGGCCATTTGTCAGCAAAGTGAAATGAGCACACAGACAGGGTTTGGGGTGGTCTCTTCAAGTTCATGTTTTTCAGGCACATTCTTATTAACTCCTCATTTGTAGGGAGGAGATGGAAACTAGACCTCTTTTCACAGGAACTCTTTTTGTTTTGGTCCATGTTCAAACTCTGTTGTTGTAGCCACTGATTTAGTTTGGTCTGGTTGTTCTGCAGCCGTGAACACAACAGGTACCTGAACTCAGCACGGCTATTTTAGTCAACTTTATGGTTGTTAAATAATTGTAAACAAAACGAATACTTAATTATATAATAATATATATTATATTATTATCCTTAGATAGAGAACTTTACTAATTGGCTTTTATGTATTTGAATGTTCCTGTAAAGTGCCCTGAGACAACTTTGTTGTGATTTGACGCTATATAAATAAACTGAATTGAACTGAATTGAATTAATATATTTTTATACCTAATCATTTTATCTGGTAAACTGAATGCAAATTACTTTCAAATAAACCTCGGTCCGTGCTCCACCACCACGATTAACCAATGCTAACTGCTACTTCCTGTTTGACAGGAAGTTGTTCCCATAATCATTTATACAGTAGAGCCCTCAGGAATAAGGTGGACACAGATTAGACTGGAACTACTCACCCCACACAATGGAGGCTCGTTAGGCTCTTTGTTAGCCTGGCTCACGAGAGATGTTTTGGTCGCCTGTATGAAGGTGTGAATTGGAGAGGAGCTGACTGGGTATCAGTCCTAAAGCTGCATTGTAAACTTTTGAAAGATGAAATCTGAGACCTCCTCCTCTGTTTAACAATGGTTTCTCTTGTTTGACATATTTGGCTTCATTCCCCTCCCTCTTAAACCATCTGTCTTCTCTGTCCAAAATATGAACATGTTGGTCCTCAAAAGAGTGTCCCTTATCCTTGATGGACCACTGAGTTGTGTCCTGGAGAGCTGCTCTCTGGCTTTGAGCCATGCATCAGTAGAGACGTTTAGTTTCTCCAATACTGAGGTCGAACATTCCTCACTGAGCTGAACAGCATAAAGCACAGGGCTTCTGTCCTCAGGATGGACCAACCTCTTTCTGAGGATCCTGTCACTGGGATGTTGTGTTTGGAGAAAATCCTTCTGAGCTTTTCAGATACTCCTGCAACATATGAGATGATAGTGTTTTTGCTTTTGCTCTTCTCTCTGTTCTGCTGTTTGTTTTTTGGATTTGTTTGCTGATTTGACAAAAGGTCCAGTATCCACAGGTCTGGAGAGTTTCTCTGCTGTGTTTCTGCTCTTTGTCCTTCCCTTCTGTATTTGTGGGGACATGTTCGGCCCAGTGGTGTAAAGTTCTAATGACAGAAAGTTTGTGTTCGAGTGTGTGGTGAGATTCAAACAGAAGGTCTGTGTGAGTAGGTTTCCTGTAAAACCTCCCAGATGGGAAGCGAAACATCTTCAGCTTCAGAATCCAAGTCCAGTTGTTTGGTTTTTTTTTTTAACCTTTTTTTTTTTTTAACTCTAAAGGAAGTACAGCAGGGTGTGAGTGTTTGTTTACATGTGATTGCTCATTTCAAAGTGGTCTTGCACACGCAAAAGAGGGTACTCTTTCCTGCTCCCACTCTCTCTTCCCAGCAGAGGACCATGAGTGGTCTCTGATGGGCTGTAGATAAGATCAGAAGCAGCTCATAACGACACACTTCCTCTTCATCACTAACAGTCACAGAAGAAGTGAACGTCATTTCCTGTAAGGAATATCCTTCCTTAGCCAGCAATTAACTACTTATCTGCTAGCTTAATGTTGCGTTCAATTTGCCTTGGAAATCAAAACTTGGAATAGCATCACATCCAACTTAACCATGCTCAAGTTGAAAGCTGAAAAAAGCAGCATTTGCTAATGCCTAATGATCAGGGCAGCTGTTATTAGCGATACAAGCTAATAATGTATTATACTGCATTTTATGCATTTCGACTATGTTCACTAGTATTATCTGTACAAACTATTTAAATGGACCTTTCTATCAAGATAGACTGCAACGAAATGAAGACTCAATGCAATCTGCTGGCTACCCTACCTTAGATAAATAATGTTACTAATTGAATTTTTATGTATATGAATGTATTTGTTCAGTGCCCTGTGATGACTTCTGTTGTGACTTGGTGCTTTATAAATAAACTGAATTGAAATAATTAGAATAAAGTGATTTAGAACACAAACTGTGCCCCTCATTTACTCAGTTAAGTTAGACAAAGTGACATAAGTACATACAGTATGATGTATAACTACTGCAGCCATCATTACCTTATAGGTACAGAGAGCCATCTTGAGTTTTAGGTCAGGGCGTTTGAAAAATCTTTGAGCTTTCAAATCAGAACTCTCATTTATGGGAGATGATTTTTTTTTCAAATTGAAATGGAGAAATATTGATTTCACATGGAGTGCAGCATGAATACAGAGAACAGACTGACTGGTCACAAAGTGAGGAAACCTGCTAACCATCGAGACAGTTTAATCCGCCATGATGGACTTCTGCTTATAACTATATGCATTTAGCAAAGCACAACACTGGTGGACACAATTCAATATGTAGATGTTCTAAGTGCAGAAGACCATTGCACCACAGGTTCTGAGCTTTGAGCCCAGACTGGGAAATACATATCCTGAAGAAGTCTTGACAATATCATCAGTTCAAATTCTGACATTTTAAAGTGTAAAATGTTTTTTTTCTTATGTCTTTGTGATCCACAGAGCGATTGTCAGAGGAAATGAATGATGTCAGCCTTCCAGCCGGTTTGCATTGTTTGTCCAGTGTTTCCATCATTGCTTTATGGGACAATTTGTGTCAGCAACATGGAAAAGTGTGTGTGTGTGTGTGTGGGGGGGGGGGGGGGCCCTAGCTTGAGCTCATATCCTGCTTTTGTTGGGTCACTTTGGGAATGTTGACGATCGGAAAAATATTTGGCTTAAAATGTCCTCTTTTGGTTTACTGAAAATTACAAGAGCCTGCTCCTCCATTGAAAGTGGCAAAAACAACCAGAACCAGAAAACATAATTCATCAAACCAGGACATCTTTTACATCGTCCCATGGTCCACTTCTGATGCTGAGTGGACTGGATGCATAATTTAACATAAGAAAAATTAGTCATGATAGTCTCCCATTTCTCATTTTTGTCTCTGGGATTATTATGTAAACCAGTGTCAGTGTGGGGGCACCATGCAGAGAAAACATGTTGTCACTATGTGTTCAGCTCATGACAACATTCATGTGTTCATGAAATCACACTGACCACAAAACTGTCTGATTGTGTCACCAACACTTTATATGTTGAGCATAAATTCAGACATACTGTGCTGTTTTGAGTGAGTGAAAGGTCTTGTTGTGACAATAAATATCGGTTGTTATAAAACTAAAATCTGCTGCTTTCTTCAAAGTTTGAATTTTTGCGAGACATGAGCTTCAACCCACATTTCTTTCATAAAATTCTGAATTAAAACAAACGCTCAGATTGTATAAAGTAGGGTTATGTGGAAAGGTTGTGAGCAGTAATTATCTTACCTGTTGTAGATAGCTTTTTTGAAACAACCCTAGCTTAGTAAAATGGCTTAATTTGGACTGAAGCAACAAGCTAATTGCTAGTACAAACACAGCCAAGACCAAAGCTGAACGCTGCCTTTGAAAAACAGACGGTTTATGTTATTTTATAAACATTTACATAGAATTTACAGGCTTTTACTGTTTTCATAGAAACTGATTAGTTTGTTTGAAGCACAACCAGCACTAGCAGCTGCTAACTAGATTCTAGCTAAAGTAACAATATTTCACCTGGAATAACTCAGTATAAAAAAAAGAAAAAAAAAAAAAAACTGACAGCAAAGTAAATGTGTTTAAAATACTTTTTTTTAATGTAAGCTGCTTTGAATTTTTTTGGTCAAAATTAAACTGTATTTCTCCAAACTAAAGTCAAAGAGCTACCTACAACACATAAAATGTTGCTTGATTTCAACCTTTTCACTGACCTCACTTAAAAAGATCTGAATTATCCCTTTAACAGGCTGGTGTCCATTCTGTTCCAGGAATCACAGCAGAGCTCCAGCCCCCTGGGCTCAGGCGTGAGTTACCTGGAGCACATCTGTCAGCTCCTGGAGAAGATCGGTCACCTGCAGGAGATGAACCTGCAGCTGCAAAGGCAGCTCTGCTCGCTGCAGAAGGATGGCAGGATGGCAAAGACGAAAGAGGTTTGTAAATCTTCTTTTCATTGCTTCCAGACCATAAAATGTTGTATTTTAAAACGTTCACTTGACAAAAGAGTGAAAAAACAAACTTTAAGGATAGTGCCTTTATAAGATGGGTATTTTGCTGTTATGTTCATATTTTATGTGCAGGCAACAAACTCAAACAATAACTGTGCAGTTAACTCTTTAACTGCATTTTGACACACTGAGTTCATTTTTTGTCGTCTTTGTCTTTTACGTTCCCAGGCCACATGTAACAGAGTGCTCTGAGTAAGAGACACAAGTTAAAGTCATGGCATGTTTTAAACTTTAGGGTTATTTAAAAAATCACGTCTTACCATAAAGGGAAAAAAACAAATCTATAAAATACATACTTTTACTTATAATAAATACTGGCGATAATTCATTCAACCTTTATTTAGACAGGTTAATTCCACTGAGCCTCGGGGACTCATTTACAAGAGAGACATGACTCGAATAATGATGACTGTTTAGTGAAATCAACCTGTTTTCACTTTATCTTTGGTATTTTCTACCTTTAAAGTTGCTGCTTGTTTGAAAAATATATAAAAATTACATTCAGCGAGTTTAATATTTATTTTATGATGAGAATTAACAGAGTTATATTCACTTTGGTCAAATCTTGTAGACGACGTTAAACATTTTAAACATTTTACTGTAACATAATACTGTAACATTTTAAATTAACAATCCATGCAGCATGGATTGTTAATTTAAAATGTTACAGTATTTAAATTTAAATTGTAGAAACGAGAAGTGCAGCAGGAAATCCAAGGATGTCACACAGCTTCAGCTCTGCAGCACAGAGCAGAAATGTACTTCTTGATCAATCACACTGAAACAACTGAACATCCATCCATCTCTTCATTATCATTTACCAGATTCTTCCATTTTGGGTCATGGGGTTCACTGGTGCCCATGTCCTGCAATCATTGTGCGAGGGGTGGGGTACACCCTGGACAGGTCGCAAGTCCATCACAGGGACACATAGAGACAAACGAGACAAACAACCATTCACTCTCTCACTCACACCTAGGAACAATTTAGAGTTGCCAATCAGTCTAACATGCATGTTTTTGGTCTGTGGGAGGAAACTGGAGTATCCGGAGAAAACCCACGCATGCACGGCGAGAACATGCAAACTCCACCCAGAAAGGCCCCTGGACCGGGGTTTGAACCAGGGACCTGCTCGCTGAGAGGCAGCAGCTCTACCAGTTGCGCCACCGTGCTGCAAAATCATTTAAAATAAGTTATTTTAAATAAACAATCCATGGCTCATCCATCAATCAGCCAACTGTGTCATGTCCAATCTTACTTTGAAAAACCACGAAATAGCGAACCGTGAAGTAGTGAGAGACTACTGTATATATGTATATATATATATATATATATATATATACACACACACACAAAGAATAATCAGTGTTTTATCACATTCATACACTGATGGGACACACATCAGAGGCAATGAGGGGTTCAGTGTCTTGCCCAGGGACACTTCAGCATATGACTGCTGGTGGAACTGAACCCACAACTCTCGCATTGGAGGACGACTGCTCTAACCACTCAGCCACAGCCGCCCACAGTGGTGGGCACAGCTAACCAAAACATTAATTTTGCTGAACCATATTGTGCTGAATAAAAATTAGCTTTGCTAACAGGTAGAAAAATTATCAGAAGCTAATGCTAATCGCTAACTGTTAAGGTGACTATCACAATCTGCATCACACGTCTTTGTCTCCTTCCAGTTGAAGACTGATGGGACTGACCATCTGAAGGTGGGATCATTTGTATCAATTCAGTCAATCCAAACCAGTTACAGCCCTGCTGCTTCGACTAATCACGTCTTGTCATGTACTTTGTACACGAGTCTGACTCTGTTTTGATGTAAGCTTTACTGAACTGAGTTTACAAAACAGGTAAATTAGCTGTTAAACATTGGAGAAAACCTAATATAGTGTACGGTAAGTTTGCTAAATTGTTTCAAACTTAGTGAAAATGCTAATCCGCTAAAGTTCAACAGTTAGCTTTTAGCAAATTAGTAGAACTAGTAGAACTGTGCCCATCACTGACCCTCAGCTACTACCACACCAAATCTAAGCACAATGTCTGTGAGAAAGACTGACTTAGAACGGTTTTTGTTTTGACTGATGTTGATGTGGGGGATAAAAATGGCGTATAGCACCACTCAAACATGCTACACTGTAAATCCCGTTCAAAAATCGACACAGACTTTCAAAGTCCACAAGGTGTTATAGGGTAAAGCAATGCATTTAAAGTTATAAACAAACTTATCAGTGGATGGAGGTGAGGTGGGGGTCTCCAGTACAAAGACAGTTTGACATGTTGCAGGGAAGTTGAGATTTAATCTCTGACCTTTCAATTGGCAAACCACTTTACTCTAAACCTCTTACTCCTTTAAGAAATGTTCCACTGGTCAAAAAACTGCTAAAAACACATTTTTTAAAATTTTATTTATAAAGTTGCTAGAATAATTTAAAAAAAGTTTTACTTTCTCTTCAAACAATAATTAGCTGTAATTTCTCACATCTCAATCTGACAGAAACACAGATAAAAACAGATAAAACGGATGTGAACTCTGCAGACAGCTCAGTCAGGAAGGACAAAGTATTTGTACCTGGGTTCATTCCTGTTCTTTGAAATCTTGGTGTGCAGTAAAAGGAAGTTGGTTTTTCAGTGACTGTGTAATTCCTGTTTCGGCCTTATCCTTTTTAAATGAGTTGGGGTCATTAGGTCACAATGGGTGTCCCTTTGAAAGCCAAAATGAGATTGATACCCATGTGAACCTTGACCAAAAGTTTAGGGTGGGCTGCAGCTGAGTCACTAGAATCTAATCCATTGTATTTCAAGTCCACTTAGAGTTAAATAAAAGATACAGAGAGAAAACATTATAAATAACCAAGTGATTATGCACATGGCTTTAGTTTTTCTTGGGAAACAAGTGTCCCTGAGTACAGTGTAAAGGTGTACAAACATCACTTTCTTGAAAAAGAGAAGTTTTACTCCTGAGACTAATCGTGATCTCAGGCAATAACCTTTTGAAAATCTATTGATTAATATCAATGCAAAATATCCTTCTAAAATCAGTATTAAAGGTTTGACCTACAAATAGCGTACAAAATACTGTGATACTGAGATGGTGTGTGTACTTTGTGCAGGAGTTTTTCCAACAACAATGCAGCTGTGGTGCAGCCACCTTGTCCTTCCAGAAGAGGCCCTATAGGAGTGAGTTTTTGTCCCCAAGTGGTACGTTCTCTGATTTGTCCACGATCCCTGAAGGCAGCCGGCATCCACTAATGTCCACCAGGAGAGGTAAGCAAAAAGAAAATTGATGTAATCTGATCATAGAAATACTTTGTATAAATTTTAGTATGTGTCCTCATTTTTTCTTTCATTGTGTTGGACTCCCTGTATACTTTAGAATAAAAGTGACTATTAAAAGCATTTTCTCACACACTGGGACCAAGTGGAAGTAATGCAGCTGAAACTTTTGTAGCTGTGATAGAAAAGCAGGAACCAAGAACCAGAGGGACTGTTTTGTGCACCAACGTAATGATATTTTTAAAGTCAAATTAAATTCTTAATTTACATTAGATAATATATTTACATAATCATGACTTCTGTAAAGATCTGATTTTCATTTTGCTGGGAACTGACCCTACAACCTGAGATACACGAAGCAGCTACACCTATGAAGCAGCTAGGTCCACTGGAAGTTACTAGAACCATAAAATACCCCTGATTATCCTTCAGCATTTAACTAAAAGCAGCATCTGCTCCTAATTACCTGCTCCAGAGGGATGTGACACATTCGGTGGTATATTGGTTTAAATTCCAACAAACGCTACTCCTGTTTTATCTGTACTCAACTTTCATAGTATGGCCCAAAAACAACCTTGGGCATTTCTCTGCGTTGGTGTTTACCTGGTTATCAGATACAGGTGGTACTCATCATGTGAGAATAAAGTCATGTCCCTTACTGCTCAGAGAGTCTCTGTCTAAAGTTTATCAGAGTTCAGCTTTGTTGGACTCTAATAAAACTCTAGGCTTCCTGCTTAAAACAGAACCAAGACTGTAACGTCTTGATTTCTCTTTCTGAGAACGCAATAAATGTCAAAGTCTGATACTGTGCCAGGCTGGACATTCTATTGAATTTATTAGGAACACTTTTTGAGAGCAACACTAAAGGTACAGTCAGTTAGACTTTTCTAAAATGAACAGATGGACACTTACAAACTAATTATAATATAATAATATAATATATAATTATCCATCCAACCATTATATTACCGTATTTTTTGCCATACACGTTGCTCCACCCTATAAGTCGCATCAGTCCATATTTGTCTAATAAAGTGGAAAAATCCATAAATATGTCGCTTCGCTGTATACGTCGCATCTATTATGTGTCACTGCTGACGCATCACGTTTGTTACGTGTCACTGCTGACAACCCGGAAATGTGGGCCGGTGTTGTGCCAAAAATGGATGGGCTGCCAAATGGCAGCTGCAGGAGAGTGCATGAAGAACTTTAACAAGAATTTAACCAGATTAACACTTAAAAACGATTAATTGTTTGCTCGAAATTATATTAAAGATGTGTCTCAGTCTAACTTTTGCTTAATAAATGCACTTTGACGGTCAAATCTGCTGTATTTCAAAACCCGATACGCAGAAGTAAATGCGTGCATGTGATGAGTTGCTGTGCAAATTTAACAAGATAAATGCCTCAAAACAATTATTTGTTTGCTCGAAATTATAGCAAAGGTGCGTCTCAGTTTATTTGCTTAATAAACACACTTTAATGGTCAAATCAGCTGCATTTCGCTGGGGCGGTGCAGCTCGTTTGACAGTTCCAAGCAGCGAGCAGAATGAAGGTGGGGACTCTGTGGCAGGTCGATTGTGTCTTTAATAGCTGGTGAAGATTCTCAGTCATCCAGGACATGGTAAATTAAAAAAAGTTCAAGAAAAAACAATAAAGCATAAAGTAAAGTATAATAAATAAAGTTCAGTTGTTTTTGTCTTGAACTTTTTTGAATTTTTTATAATTTTTGTCATTATAGCCATGTTTACCTATTACATGATACAGCAGCATGCCATAATCTATTACTACTCTGCTGCCATCAAGTGGCTGAAAGTGGTACTGCTCTTTATTATTATTATTTTTTTCAGTCAGAATGAATGAAAACGGTCATATCTCAGCCAGAAAATGGTTTATAAATAAGGGGAAAAAATCCATAAATGCCTCGCTTCACCCTATAAGTAACAGTGCATGAAATTATGCAAAAAAAAACTGCGACTTGTAGGCTGAAAAATACTGTACTTGCTTTTTTCCTTTTTGGGTCACGGGGATCACTGGTGCCCATATCCAGCAGTCACTATGCGAGAGACGAGGGACATATCATTGTCATATTGTAATATATTATTGTCATAATATAATTATCCATCCATCCTCATCATTTTGTGAAAAATGCATCATTTTGCCTATATAAATGGTGGAAATGCATTGTTATTATTATTATATCGCATAAAAGTTTCCTCAGATAATTTATTACTGTGGACAATATTCGTACGCCTCAATTTCTGCCTATGGCAGTGTGGAAAGTCAGTGAGGACAAAAATTACAATTAGTTAGACGGCTGTTTGAGTGAAGGTTGCTGAATGCACTCAAGACAATGTACCGAAGGAAACCTTTCAAACTCCCGTTGACTGTTTCTCATGTTACTCAGCAGCACAACACACAGTGGTGGTCATAATATAAGGGTTTCCTTATCTGGTAGGTTGTTAGCAACAGTGAGGTCATGTGATCAGGGAGTTGTGTTTACAACAAAGTGGGAGAAGTGGAGAGTGGGATTAACATAAGGCAAGAATAATGGCATCTGCTGATATCTTTGAACATTTTTCATAAAAGTCACGATTTCCCTCTGGACATGGAGAATAAAAACACAAACTACACAAAGCAAAAGTTAAAGATACCTCATGCAGCCACAGCTTTGACACGTAATTTGCTCTAAAATGCTTAAAATAATCAGGTTTTATAGAAAAGTTGGTTAAAGTTGTTATTGTTTGAAAATTAAAACCTAATCTAACTATTTCATCAAAGTTCATCCTAAATAATCCAGGTAAAAAATCCAACAATGTTCAGTCAGGTCATCTGGACGGTTTCTTTTTATTTTTTATTTTGCTGAGATGTTTCTCACCAGCAAACCATCCAGATGACCTGACTGAACATTGTTTGGTCTAACCACAGTTATATTTATTTCCACCTGCTGAGAAGCAAAATGAGGGCAATTGGGTGTGTATTTACAACTGCTCAATTTTGATTTTATTTAACATTTATTTATATAGGTTAGTCTCATTGAGTCACAAGGACTCATTTTCAAGAGAGACTTCTTTTAGACAGACAACAATATACAACAATAAAAAGCAATTAAAAACAATAGTGTTATAAAAACAATAAAATCAAAGTGGCATATTAAACAAAGTAAAATACTAAAAACAAGAACATATTTGCTTAAACTTTTCTTATTATCTACCTTATCCGTTGTTTAAGATCCCTTAAAGAAATCAAAGTGGACAACGTCAGATCTTGTTGCAAGGTGTTCCAGGTTACAGGAGCAGAGTTAAGTCTCCCACATACTCGGGCGTACTTCAGTCCGCGGAGGTCCATGCATACCAGATTAGACTCGAAGTGGACACCCGCAGGGCATGTCTGCACAAAGATAAATTTTTACGACCACATACGTGTACTAGGTGTCGCACAATAAACTGCCTGGTGACAGACTGTTTTGTATGCGACACCAATGTATTAAATCCCCCTTCTTTATCCCTGATCTGGTTCAATGGTCTTTTATTTTGTTTTTTTGCCTAAAGGCAAGAGATTTCTTCCTCTTCGTCCATTGACGTCATGGTTGAAATTGTGAAAAATGAAGGAATTTGTCACGAGAGAATTAAAATGCATGGCTGCGGGAGGGTCTGGAGATTTCCTGGTGGGCCGGTCTGATGTGTGGGCTGCAGGGCCAGCGCTCCCTGTTTTTTAAAAATGTTTTAGAACTTTTTATTAACAACATATAAACACAGAACATGGCTGCAGCTGGGGCTGCCAGCTCTGTTATTTTTTTTTTTTTGTGACCTGTCCATCAATCCAATAGGCGTGTCAGCAAATGACCAATCAGCAACCTCGATTTGTCCCGAAGGTAAACGCCCCTTGCCTGCGGAGCTGACTGCAGCCACTCAGGGTGTACACTCGAGCATGAAGTCTCAACCGTCTGCGGACAGTTTCCGCGTGGACTGAGATCTGAGATCTGCTCGAGTCTGTGCGATCCTTAAGAAAAGGCCTTTTTGTTGAGCTCAGTCTGCATTAGAGGGACGCTGCAGGTAATGAAGGTCTGAGAGCACACGCCGTAACTGCACTGACGACATGACATGTGGGAGAAGATGTATGAAGGCAGCAGACCAAGGAGGGATTTAAAGATGAAAATGAACGAGTGTGAGAGGCTACATGTAGATGATGACCAACTGGCCAAGGAGTACAGGGTGCAGTGATGGGTACGGTAGTTACAACCAGTTATGAATCTTAGTGCTCCATGGTAGACAGTGTCCAACATCTGCAAGCAGCTGGCAGGGGCATTCATGTAAATAATGTCACCATAATCGATACCTGGTAGGAAAGTTGCAGCTGCAAGGTGTTTCCTGGCATTCAAAGTTACACATCACCTGATTCTGACAAAAAAAAAAGTTTTAATTTCAGTTCCTTTGACAGGTTTTTAATTTGTGGCTTAAAAGAGTGATGTTCATCAATTAAAATTCTCAAGTATTTGTAAGAATCTACAAACTCAATAGGAACACCATGCATGGATGAGATAGCAGGAAGACCTGCACCAACTTCCTGTTTGAAAACAACATCCCTTTGGTTTTGTCAGCATTTAGCACCAGTTTGAGATGGAACAAGTCTGACTGAATGATGCCACCTGCAGACTGGAGAAACTGGAAAGCCTTGGGATTTGTGTTAGCTCAACAATGAACTGTATCGCCAGCCTGCGTTTAGTCAACATAATTTAAAATGGCTGCCACAGTTAATCACCATTTGACATATTTTTAAATAGTTGTATTTCAGTCAGTTTTACAGATATTGACGTAAGATTTAGTGTGATAGTAGCTGAGAGTGATCTCCAGCAAACAGTTTGAGCATTACCAGATTGTGCACTGTATGAACATTGGAAATTTGGAATAAACTCAGTTTGTTGGCACATTTCACAAACTACTAACTGATTTAATTGAAACTTATAAGAAAAATTAACCCTGTTTGTCTGTTAGCAAAATATTTCATAAAGCACTGGCTTAATTTGCATGAACCATTCAGGTTTCATTGGGTGTGAATCTATTGCTGAGTTTGATTAATCTTTAGAGTTCATCTAAATCAAGATGCAGCTAATCAACTTTAGTCAACACAATGGTTTTAACTCAGTCAGTTGTAAAAACTGAAATCATCGACAGATCTCACAATGTTGTTTTGAGATTGTGCATAATGTTATTTTTAAGGTTTGACCACAAAAATATAATTTGACCTATTTTGACATAACATGATCAAATTTTAAATTCAGCATGAAAAGCAATAAAAATCTTGGATATCAGGTTACAACATAAAAAAATTAAGCTGTTAATTTTTAAATAAACAAAAACATTTTATATGTTTAAAAAGTTGATTAAGTTAAAATTGTTGGGAAAGTATGGCGCCAAGTGACGGATGCTTAATATTTTTGTTTTCACTTTGGAGATGTTCAAGCCTAAGTTGTTGTTTGTTTAAAGTTACTTTATATTTTTGAAATAAGGGGCAGATATTATAAGAATTATTTTCTTCTTTCTGCACCCTTTTCATTCAATGTTTTTTTCTTTTTGATGAATTTGTTTTGTTTATTTTGTTTCTTTTAAATGAATGAATAAATGAATTAAAAATAATAATAATTTGCTACTTTTATCTTTCACACCCAGTCGTCCTGTTAATCCCACTCCGAACAAGAAGTGTTCTTGTTTCCCCAGCTCCTCTTAGGTGATTTAGGAATTCATCTTCCACATTGTTTTTCCCAGCTGTCTTCACAAACACGACCTTCATCTTCTTCATCCAACACAGTTCAGTCCTCAGTTATGAATTCTGGAGTACATTCTTGACTGATGGCCAGTCCTTTACAGTGGCGGGATAAAGTCGTTGAAAACACATAAACCTACTTGAATAAGTACTTTAATACGTATCACTGAAAGGGAAATCTTTCATGTTTTCAAGATGCTTTCATCACACAGTCTTTGCTGACCCCACTTATGAAAAACAACCAAGCTGCCTGTTTCTTCAAATAACACTAATTATCTGAAGGTATCGTGATTACAAAATGTCCTGAAAACAGCACGTCCAATGACTGAACTGCAAAACATCTGAAATACTTTGTCTTCTGAGCTTCACCAAGTCAACAAGACTACACAACAGGAGGTCTGAGCTGGTTTCTAAAGAACGAGGTGGTGAAAGTATTTTTCTGTTTTGTGATTTATGTTTCAGACATGAGCAGTGAAAGTTTGACAACCATCCCCCTGTGGAGGAGAAGTCTGAATCGAAGGAGTTTCACCGAGGGGGAGGACTGCTTCCTTGGAGACAACACAGAAGGGCTGTCTACCCCCCAGCGCAGGGTGAGCTTGTGTCAATTCACTACCATGATGTCGTATTGTTTTTCTGCCCAAACATATTTGAAAAGTTTACTCAGAATGAGTCCAGGAAATTAGAGTTAATCAGTTTAGTGTTGGTATTTATCCTCCAGTGTCAGATTCATGCAGTCTGATACACACGGGTTCATATAAACTGACTCATGTCTTTCATTTGCAAACTATTTAACATTCATTGCACTGTATGCAAGTGTCTAAACACACTATAACACTTTAACACTAGTATTTAAAAAAGACAAATTATGCTTTTGTGGTGACTGCCTCTCATTTAATATTATAGAGTTTTGTCAGCTATGATACACAACAAGTACTCACAAAACATCTTACATTCTCCTTCTTTACTTGTAACATCATAAAACTAACAAGGTTTCAAGAGTCAGGTCCTCTGCACAGGTTCTTCCTGTAGACGTCCCCTGTAGCAATGTGGATATCCTAACTGGGCCTTCCTAAAAGCAAGTAGGAAACCCAAACAGGACTCCAGCCAGCCATCGGGTGAAAAGGAGGAACCCAGACCAGTGGTCCATCTGAATGTTGCAGGAGTTTCAGAGAAATTAAGACCTTTATTTTCTAAACATGTCGTCCCAGTGGCTTTTAAACCCCAAAAATACATTACGGCAAAGACTGGTTCATCCCAAAGATCCAGTCCCTCGGCACAAACAGAGTAATATTGTGTATGCTGTTCAGTGTCAGGAGGGTGATCAGTCTTACATTGGGGAAACTAAACAGCCACTGGCCAAAAGGATGAACCAGCACAGAAGAGCAACAACATCAGGCCAGGACTCTGTGGTCTACACTCATCTCCAGGCCAGCGGTCACTCTTTCAGGGATGAAGATGTTCACATCCTGGATAGAGAGGAACGATGGTTTGAGAGAGAAGTAAAGGAGGCCATCTTTGTGAAAAGAAATCGTCCATCATTAAACAGGGGTGGAGGCCTCCAGGTTCAACTGTCCCCCTCTTACAATGCTGTTATTGCTAGTATCACTCAACCCCCTGTGAATAGTAAACAGCCATCAGCGTGAATCCCCTGCTGATAACAGTTCATCTATCCGTCTGGAGCGCACGCTCGTTGCCACTCCGTGTAACGTCCCGGAAGCGGGCACGCGTTTATGCTGCGTCATGTTATCTACGGACGCCAATCACCGCCATCATGTGTGCCTCACTCAGGCTGCGGGCTCACATCCGTGGCGTGCACTGAAGGAAAAATGAGCACCCCCCGAACATGCGGAAACGCTAGGGCTGCTGCAGGTGCGCGGCGTTCTATGCCATGCACAGGCTATTGTCTCATATCTGTGCTGCCACTCCGCATAACGCTCGGGGAGCGGGTGCGCGTTTACGTAATGTCTCACCGCCTCCACCGCCGTCGTGCATCGCGGAGACGCGCTCCGCACACTCATGGAGAGGCTTTTACGAAAAGGCTCTGAAAACGCTTCCGTGCCGTGTGCAGGCTGCGGGCTTGCATTTACGTTGATGTGAGCCGACGTGCACTGAAGAGGCGTGTGTGCGCCCTAGTCGACGCAGTGTCTTAGGCCGCAAGGGTGCGCGTTTGACGCTGGTGCGGTCAGAGGAAGCAGCGCGCAGCGCCGGTTGAGAGCGAGGTTTACCACTGGACTCGGTCTGCAGAATGCGTTCATTCTTAGCTGCGAATCACGTGAGCTTTTGAGTGATTCATCGAGCTGCAGTGTTATTTTAGAAAACCTTCTTCGAAGGACACCAGCTCGTTATGTGTGTAGGATGAATGAGAGGAGCCGCTGTGACATCATTGGACTGACAGACTGGCTGAAAAAACAGACACATTAATCTTTGAATGATATTGGTGTTTCATTTCAAAGCTCGTGTCGTTAACACATTCATTCTGGCTGCCGTGTCACGCTAGCCTGTGCTTTTCATCGAGCTGCGGTGATGTTTAAAAAAACCCTGTTTCTGGACACCAGCTCGTTTTGTGTGTGAGAAGAAGCTGCTGTGAGATCATTGGACTGACAGACCGGCTGAAAAGCAGACACTTTAATCTTTGAATGATGTTTGTGTTTCATTTCAAAGCTCATGTCGTGAACACATTCATTCTGGCTGCCATGTGTCTTTTCATAAATCTCTTCCCCGTGAGCCCTGCGGTTTGTTATCCTAGGGCGACACCTGTTGGTGGTCTCTGGGAAACGCTGAAACCGCTGGTTGCTGGGATGAGAAGTGTTGTTCTCTGATGGGAGGGGCTGGCAGCGGAAAAGACGCGGCTGCAGCTGTGGCGCGGGGATGCGGGAGGAGGCGTGTGCACAGTCTCCGACACCTCATCTGACTTTTCCAGCATGACCTTGAAATTGGTCCCGAACAGCGCGTCGTCGTGATAGGGCCTTCCGACAAAAAAGCCTTCTGCAGCTCCTCCGACAGGGAGGGGAACTGACAAGTCGGGTGGACTTCTGCACCATTGTCATCTAAGCTGCAATGCGAGACAAGGCAGACAGCAGATGAGGCGCACAGGTTGAGTGTGATGTCAGACGCCTGCAGAGGGAGCGCCTCGTCTCCTGAGGCAGGTCTGTCCCTCCGGCCTCTGAGAAGCTGTACGTCAGCGGCGCTGCGGCCGCCTGGGATGCATGCCGGTGAGCTCGATTGGAGAGCAATGTCACCGTCTGGTTATGTCTCCCTGGAGGCGTAGAACGCTGGTCCAACCTGGACATCTTTGCTCCGAAAAGGCTTCTGTCAAGGCTCGGATCCACGGGGCACTGAGGGAATTTCCGCTTGGTGAAACCCCTCCACTCTGGTGATGGGCGTGGATGTGGGAACCGGCGCCCTATTCTACCAGGTCCGGCTACAGCCTCGTCCCAGTAGGACGTCACTGCTGGGAAAACGAGGCCAGATGGGATCAGGACGGTGAGCCGGAGTGGAGCCCAGAAAACCCTCCCGCTAGATCATCCGATCTGGGCGGGGAAGGAGAGGGGACGGCAAAAGTCCCTTCATGTCAGCTGCCTCCTGGATTATGCCGGGCAGCTCCAGAGGAGGGCGAGCATTCGCTCAGCCCCCCTCTACACCGACACTATGCTCTCCAGGAGGGAATGAGCAGTGGGAGGCTGCTGCTGATGTCGCCTGTCCCCGAGGAACCATCCGATTCGCTCCGAGGGTCGGCAATAAGAGGAAAATTACAAGATGGCGTCGTCCAGCGTGTAGCGACCTGCCACTGAGAAATACTCCTCGGCGCTTACCTTGAAACAAGACTTCTCGTCTGCCTCTCCTCGGGGAGGAGAACTCACCGGGACGACAGGAGGTTGACGTGGCAGGGCCACAGGCAGTCTTAACAAAGGTTGGTCAACTAGACAACTTTCCTTCTTTGTTCTTCTGACAGTGCTATTAGCTTGCTGAAGAAAAATGGGAGCTGATTACCCGCTCTTAACGTAATTTATATGGACCGGGTGGGGCCCACACAGCAGGTGGGCGTGGACTAAATTTTTTCAGTGTAATGCTTCGCATGACGGGATAAACCCACTAAGCGACAGCCTTAAAGGGCGAAGCCTATATGAAATAGAATGTGGCCAAACCTAACTTGAAAACAAGAAGCAAAAATTAGAAGAGAAACTTAACATAACGTCCAAAAATACCAGCTCATAAATCCATGTATATAAAATAAGTACCAATATAAAAGGAAGTTGTTTATCTTTTTTATCATACCATTTTAAACCAAAATAATAGAAAATTATCTTGTGATGAAATACATTTTTCCCCCAATCTTGGACTCTAAGAGCTTATGAGTGGGAAATGTGCTGCATGCAGAATCACTGAGGGAAATATAGGAAGAGAAATATTTCAGATGTGAGGTAACAGCTCTTGTCAATACGCTGCTGTTCACAGATTGCTGTAGAAATTCAACTTTTTGTCTCATTAGCTGCTGTTGATTTAATCACTTCACTTTACATGAAGACCAACTGCAGCTCCAGTGTGACACCAAGTAGCATTCTGACCAAATAGACCTTCTACCATCAAATATTGTGAAGATCTGTATCTGAAGAATAAAGTTCCCTATCAGAAAAAAAATGTTAGGACTAAGAGTTTAGATCTTTTACTTTTAAAATGCATCAAGCATGTTCTCTCCATTTACTCCAAGGATTTAGAAAAACACAACAACAACAACAGTAAAAATAACAGTCACAAGAGTTCAGAAATGGAGCCAGCACTGTGGAGATGAGCTTAGCTGCATTAAATGTGTGACTGATGCTTCCTTCATACTGTTGTCTAAACAAAACCAATGAACGTAATTCAGCTTTCAGCCCTTTCTGGTTACAAAGACTCTAAAGCACTATCAGGCTGTGGAAACTATTTCATTTTGCTTAAAAAATGGCTCAGCGCCCAGATCCATCTGTATGGGCTGAAATACAGTCAGTCCAAATGATCCATGACCACTATCATTGAGTTGTTTACTTAGAGGAATTGTTACTGAGGTTCTTAGTTATAAAAACTCTCTTGAAAATGAGTCCTCGAGGCTAACTGAGACTAACCTGTATAAATAAAGGTTCAATGAAACTAACCTGTATAAATAAAGGTTCAATGAGACTAACCTGTATAAATA